CCTTCCTTCCTTCCTTCCTTCCTTCCTTCCTTCCTTCCTTCCTTCCTTCCTTCCTTCCTTCCTTCCTTCTCTCCTCCCTCCCTCTTACAATCCTTTCCTGCCTCTTTCCCTCCTCTCCAGAGGTGGGTATTCAGCCGGTTCGGACCAGTTCTGCAGAACCGGTCTCAGAAATTTTGAGTAGTCCGGAGAACCGGACAATCCTGCCTCTGACTGGCCCAGCCCACCCCGTCTCTTCTCTGCCTCCCATCGAGTCCCAGCTGAGTGGCTGGGTCTCCTTTGGTTGCCCTGCGCAGGAGAACGGAGCTGGAAAGCAGGTTAGGAGGGTGGGGAGGGAATTGGGATTTTGCAGTATATCCTTCCCCTGCCACGCCCACCAAGCCACGCCCACAGAACCAGTAGTAGATTTTTTTGAATCCCACCACTGTCTCTGGGTCACCCCAGGGGGTCTCCGAATGCGGAAGATTAATTTGTCCACCCAAAGGATAAAGCACCCAGGCCCAAAACTGAGCAACGTGGTTACATGCAATACAATGTGGTGAGCCATGTGCGGATCCGTACCTTTGGGGAAACAAAACCACCACTTCAGAAACACATGGCGCAACATAGGAGAACAAACCCATCCGGACTAGATTCAGCAGTTCATCTGCATTTCAAGAACAAAGTCAACGTTTTGGACAGAGAGGACCACGGGTTTGCAAGAGGGGGGGTCAAAGAGGTCATCTATGTCCAAACTGAACAGCCCACCCTCAAAAAGAGGGGGAGGGCCAGGGGTGGGATTCTACCGGTTTACACCTATTCGCTAGAACTGGTTGTTAACATTCTAAGCAGTTTGGAGAACTGGTTGTTGGAAGAAATTACAGGGCTAATCCTGCAAGGAAGTCAGGAAGGAAACATTCTGGTGTTGCTTACAGAAACTGCCTCTCCGTTGACCCTTATTACATTCTTGGCAGGATTAGACTTTCTGTCTCAGGAGCTTCTCTGGAGTTTGTCTCCCCTCCTTTGCTGGTACTTTGCTTGTGTGGAGGGACCATTCAAAGTTACCATGGCCCTGAAAAAAGTGACTTATGACCATTTTTCACACTTACGACTCTTGCAGCATCCTCACAGTCATGAGAGGCCAGGCAAGGAGATGCGTGCCTCGATGTGAGTGATATGGAGTTGGCCACGCCCAGCCAGTCACATGACCACCAAGCCACGCCCACCAACTAAGCCACGCCCACAGAACCCATTGTTAAAAAAATGGAATCCCACCCCTGGGGAGGGCTACGACAGCATCTACCTCCAATCTACAACACAGCTCCTTTCAACAGTTCCAAGAAGACTCCACATCTATTTGCACCACTCTGGTGACCCCGAGGACACAGACAAACCTCCAAGTGGCCTCAACAACCCTCTAAAAGGATGCAAATGACCAGCTGTCTGCAAGGAGGATAAATCCCTTCCATTCCTCACCATCATCCAGTCAGAGCTGAAGAAGCTTCCTGGATGAGAAGCGAAACATCTTCAAACAAAAACCAGAAAGTCCAGATGCCTCTTGGGAACCACCCCATCCCCTACCGTTCTTTGGGCCACGCTGACAAACTGCCCACCCAGTGGCGACAGCTGATGGTTTTTCAGAGATGACCAAGTTTGTCGTCTGTGTACGCTCAGAGACACCACTTCACCCCAAAGGCCAGCTCTGGACACTTACAAATTTGTAGACAGTCTTCATAGCAGGATTTGCCTTGGTCTTCACAGTGTTTAAAATGGCCCCACTTCCTTTCTGCGTAGATATAGAGGAGGGGGGAGAAAAAGCCATCAGGATGACACCGAAATTGAGCTGAGGTTGCGACTTTTAACACACAGACAGAAGTGTGAACGTTGCATCTCCTTAACTCCTGCAGGCCTGTTACAAGGACCAATGGCCCCTAGCTCTGGTCTCATTCAAATATTTGTGATTTCCTGAAAGGCAGAAGGTTTTTTTCCTTCCTTTTCAAATTAAACGTTGGATGTTGTCATATGCAGGCACAGGCCCGATATTGTATGCGATCATCAGAATAAACCTGAAAATAAATGCTTTCTTTTCAAAGCTCACAATCTTTGGATTAGCCTGCAGAATCTTTGTCAGTTTTTTTAACAAGAAAGCACAGCCTCTTGTGCAAGCCAAAGACAGCTCTTCCACCTCTCTCTTTCTCTCTCTCTCTTTCTTGGTTTCTCTCTTTTTTGCTCTCTCTCTCTCTTTCTCTGTTTCTCCCTTTCTCTCTCTCTGTTTCTCTCTCATTCTGTTTGTCTTCCTCCCTCTGTTTCTCTCTCTTTCTCTTTCTTCCTCTCTCTGTCTCTATTTCTGTTTCTCTTTCTTTCTCTCTCTTTGTTTCTCTTTCTTTGTCTCTCATTCTCCCTCTGACTGTTTCTTTCTCTCACTGTTTCTCTCTGTGTCTCTCTTTCTTTCTGTTTCTCTCTCTCTATTTCTCTCTCCCTTTCTCCCTGTTTCTCTGTCTCTCTGTGTTTCTCTTTCTCTCTCTCTCTCTCTTTCTGTTTCTCTGTCTCTGTGTGTGTGTTTCTGTTTTTCTTTTTCTTTCTTTCTTTCTTTCTTTCTTTCTTTCTTTCTTTCTTTCTTTCTTTCTTTCTTTCTTTCTTTCTTTCTTTCTTTCTTTCTTTCTCTCTCTCTCTCTGCTTCTCTCTCTCTTTCTCTCTGTCTCTGTCTCTCTTTCTCTCTCTCTGTCTCAGGTCTATAATGAGGGAAGAAAGTATGCCAAGTCAATTTCACCCAGGCTGAACTTTGCATCCTGATGGCACCTCCAAGATTTTGACCTCTCAGACAGAATACTTAAGCAGTCCCGTTTGTGCTTTCTTTATTTGGTAGGACAAGCTGTCTTGAGCTGGGCATGGCATTATTTTGATAAATACAATTTAGCATGCATAAAGGACACACACACTCACACACACAGAGGCAGACACAATGCTGGACTGGGGGGACTATTCTTTTAAAGCAAGAATTGTATATTTGCTAACTCATCAAGAATTATCAGAGAAACGAAACTGCAAAACATCTTAATATAAATGGCTCTATGTTTGAGATTCTTTCCCTCCCTCCCTCCCTCCCTCCCTCCCTCCCTTCCTTCCTTCCTTCCTTCCCTCTCCCTCCCTCCCTTCCTTATAATAAGATGTTTTGGAAACACAGTTCCAAAACATCTTGTTATAGGTGGCTCCATGGTTGAGATTCTGGTTTTTCTTTCTTTCTTTTTCTCTTTCTTTCTTTCTTTCTTTCTTTCTTTCTTTCTTTCTTTCTTTCTTTCTTTCTCCCTTCTCTTTCTCTGTTTTTTCTCTTTTTTCTTTCCTCCTTCTTTCTTTCTTTCTTTCTTTCTTTCTTTCTTTCTCCCTTCTCTTTCTCTCAGTTTTTTCTCTTTTTTCTTTCCTCCCTCTTTCTTTCTTTCTTTCTTTCTTTCTTTCTTTCTTTCTTTCTTTCTTTCTTTCTTTCTTTCTTTCTCTCTCTCTCTCTCTCTCTTTCCTTTCTTTCTTCATCCCTCCCTCCTTTCCTTCCTTCCTACCATCTTTCACACCAAAGCCTTCCTATCTTACGGTGCAATCCTTGAAACCTTGTCACTCTTTCAGAATATCAAGAGAAGCCAACCAACGTTTCCAGAGCTTATTTTATGCCTTTTCGCCTCCTTAATAATCCAGGGTGCCCAGCCGTCCTTCTTCACTGTTCAAAAAGCTGGTTTGAAACAAACTTTGGGGGGGGGGGGCCCTCCGGAAGAAAATAACTTGGATTCTGCTTATTTATTATTTCCCCTGAATGTCTAAAGGGAAGATTTAAAATGCCAACCCTCCAGGATTCTAAGATGGGTCCGATATTCAGCCATTCTTTATCAGGGGGCACAACACAGCTGCCTGTTCAAGCCTGCGAAGCAGAAATACTGCCTCGAATCTTGGGGCGCAGTCCAGTTTGGGGGCAGAATTGAGGTTCGCCAACTCCCTCTTGGCATAGGACGTAGCAGCTCTTGGATGGATGGAGGAGGAAGGACAAGGAAGAGATGGAGGAAGCACCTGCTGGTGCTTTCAAGGGATACTCACCCGGACAGTGGACAGCCATTGGTGGTACAGCTTGTCACTGCCTGCCCCAAAAGAAGAAGTATTATTATTAGAATAGAATAGTTGGAAGGGACCTTGGAGGTCTTCTAGTCCGACCCCTTGCTCAAGCAGGAAGCCCGACACCATTCCAGATTCATAGCTGTCCAACAGCTTATGTCCAACAGCACCCACAACTTTTGAAGTCGAGCTCTTCCACTAATTCATTGTCCTCACTGTCAGGAAATTTCTCCTTAGTTCTAGGTTGCTTTTCCCCTTGGTTAGTTTCCACCTATTGCTTCTTGTCCTGCCTCTCAGGTGCTTTGGAGAATAGCTTGACTCCCTCTTCTTTGGGGCAGCCCTTGAAATATCAGAACGCTGCTATCATGTCTCCCCTAGTCCTTCTTTTCATCAGACTAGACACACCCCATTCCAGCAAGCGTTCTTTATATGTGAAGGGAAGTGAGAACTAGTCTGGGTCCTTCTGCCTCCCAGCATTTACGAACAACACGGAGTTCTGCCACCTGTCACCCCAACCAACAACCTCAAAACAATTTGGGAGAGAGGTGTCGAGTTCTTTTGAAGATGCTTCTCTAAATCCAGCAAGAGAGCTATATTTTTTTTCAAGTTATACGAGCTACTGGTGTCCCCCTCTGGGCCATTTTTGCTCCTTATCCATCCACACAACTGTTGTTTTCTCTCCCCGTTGTTGGTCTTGATCGAGGGTCTTCAAACTTGGCAAGCTTAAGACTTGGGGACGCCAGCTCCCAGAATTCCTGAGCTAACAGGACCGGAGGAGAAATTGTTGAAGTCCACCTGTCCTCAAGCTGTCAAGTTTGAAGACCCCACCCTGGTCTAGACGGAGAATTCACGGTGGGGACCTTGGGTGGCCAGAAGAGAAACCTGAAGGCATCTCAACCGGCTTGTTGACCTGTTGTTATCTTGGGTCTCAGCAATGTCGCTTTAAGAATTGGAATCGCCCCAGTTCTGTTTTCAGTGGAATCAGTAACACAACAGGTAGTCCTCAACTTACAACAGCAATGGAGCCCAAAATGTCCGTTGTCAAGTGAGACGTTTGTTAAGTGAATTTTGCCTTGCTTTGTGACCTTTCTTGCCTCTGTTGTTAAGTGAATCACTGCGGTGGATCAGTTAGCAACCCGGTTGTTAAGTGAATCAGGCTTCTGATTTTGCTAGTCGGAACGTCGCAAAAATGAGTCCCTTGACCGCCCCCCCGGGACTCTACAACTGTCATAAATATGAGTCAAGTTGCCAAACGTCTGAATTTTGATCCCATGACCATGGGCATGCTGTGACGGTCCTAAGTGTGGGAAATGGTCATAACTCACTCTTTTCAATGCCACCGTCACTTCAATCAGTCACTAAATTTGAAGGCCGTAAGTCGAGGACTAGCTGTAACAAAAAGAAGTGGCCTGTCATATTTGTATGGCCAACCAAGCCTGGTCTTCTCCTCACCAGCATATTCGCCCAGGTTGATCTCTTCCTCGAAGACGTCACTGAAGCCTTCTCCAGAGTTGAGAAGATCAAGACGACCATCGATGAACTGCAGGAGAAAAAAAGCGTTATCTTCTGACCCTTCCTCTCTTCTTCCAGGAGGGCATCTAGGAGGATCTAGTCTCTTCTTCTGAGCCAGGTGCCTACGGAGGTTCTCCGTCCTCCAGCCCTTCTTCAAAACGCAACTGGACTTTTTTTTTCTTCCTTGAAGAGGTTTCGCTTCTCATCCGAGAAGCTTCTTCGGTTCTTATCTAAGAAGCTTCTTGAGTCAGAACTGAAGAAGCTTCCTCGGGTGAGAAGCGAAACCTCTTCAAGGAAGAAAAAAAAAAGTCCAGCTGCCTTCTGGAGAAGTGAAGAAGCGTCTCGGATGAGAAGCGAAAGGCCTTCAGAGAAGAACCAAGTCTGCTTGCCTTTTGAAAAAAAAAAGGCACCTTTGGGTTGTTCTCAGCAGGTCCAAGGGATGGGAAGCCCATTATCTAAGTCCTTCGCCCGCGAAGACCCCCCGAGAGGGAGAGAGAAAGAAACAGAGAGGGAAAAATACACCAACACCATCTATTGTGGAAGGCAGAATAGGAAGAACACACAATGCTCTTAAAAATAGCTCATGAGCTTGCCTGCTGGAGGGGGGTGGGAAAAAACCGACAGAAAACACCTCATCCTGACCCATAAATTACACTAATTAGGGAACAAAGTGGCCAGCCGTATTTCACAGCACGTTGCGAAACACTGCGATTGTTCTTAACACACACACACGCGCACACAGAGTGAGACACACACACCAAGTACCTGCTTGAAAAGCTGCAGCTGTATGGCATTCTGCAGGAATTGTCTCATGGTGGCAGACCGGTGGGAAACGAAGGTTTCTTCGCAAAAAGTGATGGGTTCTTCCTAGAGAAAGCAAAATGGCGGGAGGATGTGGGTGAACGGACGTCGTTCGCGGGGCTCTCAAGGGGAGGACAACCGATGGCGGAAACCTGGATTCCCCCCCCCCCCATCCCGATGGGACGTGCTATGGACCTCAGCTTCCCCCAATGAAGGAGGCAGGAATCCCAAACCCAACCCTTATCCTGTCTTTCTTTGAGGACGTTTCTCCAAGAAACTTCTGGATGGTGGTGAGGAATGGGAGGATTTATCCTCCTTGCGGACAGCTGGTCATTTGCGACCTTTTAGAGGCTCGTTGAGGCCGCTTGGAGGTTTATCGGTGTCCTCGGGGTCACCTGAGTGGTGCAAATGGATGGAGCCTTCTTGGAACTGTTGGAAGTGGCCTCAACGACCCTCTCAAAGGATGCAAAGGACCAGCGGTTTGCAAGGAGTATAAATCCTTCCATTCCCCACCATCCAGTCAGAGCTGAAGAAGCCTTTTGGGATGAGAAGCGAAACCTCTTCAAGGAAAAACCCAGAAACTCTTGATAAAAAAAGCACCTTTGGGACAACCCTGACCTGGAGGATGGAGAAGCTCCATAGATACCCAACTCTTATCAATTGTAAGACGAGGGGTTGGTGGGCTCTTGTGGGGAAGGTCTTCAAGAGAAGGTCTTCTTCATGGACGTGCTCCAGAGGGTAAGAAAACCAGCAAGTAAGTTTAATTTTAAAAATCCAGATCCTTGGCATCGGTGTCTATGGAGCTCCTCAGTCCTCCAGGTCATGACTGTCTCAAAGCTGCCTTTTTTTCCGAAGAGGCAGCTGGACTTCCTATATTTTTTTTCCTTTGAGGATGTTTCGCTTCTCATCCAAGAAGCTCCTTCAGCTCTGACTGGATGGTGGGGAATGGAAGGATTTATATTCCTTGCAGACAGCTGGTCCTTTGAATCCTTTTTAGAGTGTCGTTGAGGCCACTTGGAGGGTCATTGAATAGCGCAAATGAGTGTAGAGCCGGGCTGTCAAACTCCTGGTCGGCGGGCCGGATGCGTCATGTGCTGGCCACGCCCATGCCCAGTTTAGCGGAAGGGGAAAGTCCCAATACATCACATGACACCGCCATGACAATGTGAGTTTGACACCCCTGGTGTGGAGCCTTCTTGGAACTGTTGAAAGGACCGTATTGCAGACGGTGTTGGTTCTTTCACGAGTTCCCAGAACACTCCAAACTCATTTGCGCTACTCAGGTGACCCCGAAGAGACAAGTAAACCTCCAAGTGGCCTCAACAATTCTCTAAAAGGGTGCAAATGACTGGCTGTCTTCAAGGAGGATAAATCCTTCCATTCCCCCCTCCATCCAGTCAGAGTGCTCACAATCTGGGTCTTCATTTTATCAACCTCGGAAGGCTGAGTTAACCTTGAGCCGCTGAAAATTGAACTGCAGTAGTTGCCAATGAGCTCAATTAGTCTGCAATACTGCATTCTAACCACTGTGCCACTGTGGCTCTTAGATAAATTTAGAGGTAGATAGATAGATAGATAGATAGATAGATAGATAGATAGATAGATAG